AGTTTTCTACCACACGCATCCCCCACGTAGAGTGTACATCGTCCTGATGTCGGTCGATTTGCAAGTCCCGAAAGGTGTACCATCATTACGGGTTCATCCTATCACCTTCATCCCTGCCTACTGACTGACTGGAGTGCACTGGAACACTTGTGGTGGGTGAAGCAGGTCATATTCTGCGTTACTGCGTCACCGAATGTAAGGTGTTCCGTTAGCAAGGTGGTTTCTGCATCAGCCCTTGGCTCTAACGGGGGAGGGAACAAGGAAATGTGCTAACCACTTTGGATATCAGGTCCCACAGGTTGGTCACTAATCCTACTCTGAATCAGCAGACTTGTTCTGCATCATCCCATCAACGAACTGATTAGCTGGAGAGAGGAGCATGGATCAACAATTTGGCGTCTCAATTTCATTGCCTTCATCGCATTAAGGTAGGGGTGAGGAGGCAGTTGATTGACAAGAGGTAGGGATGAAGGGCGGAAGCACAACAGGTTTGCGAAGCCTCGCTGTTCGATCGACTGGGTCGGATGTCTCCTGCAACCATCCAAACAAGTGTTTGAGATTGGACCGATAGAGAGGGAGGAGGGGGGAGAGGTTCAACTGGTCAGATTGCACAGATCGGTGTTGGGATATGTGCGGAATGAATTAGCACCTGGAAACACCTCCTTTACCAAACTCGGTTGTTTGCACCGTGTACTTGACCATGCGGTCTCGTCAGTCAGCGTGACTCCTGTCGTCATCTTGGCGGCATTACCATGCCTACAGTGCCTCAACCCAACTGGAGGAAGCGTGCACGACACCCAACAGCACACTTTTTGACAACACTGCTGACCATTAAATTGGCTAGTTAATGACTCCTCGTTGTTGTTGGCCAATGCGAAGCTACGAGATGGGAATTTCGCCTGCCATCATCACGTTTTTCCTCAAACAACGCAAAATACATGACTCTTGTTTTTTAAATAAAGTGGGCAGGCTACCTCTCAGATGCAATCGTAGTTGACCACATTAACTCTCGAGGAGGTTTGTGTTGGTGAAAATGCTGCATGCCTGTTGAAACATTGTGCCACGATCGTGTACACAGGCAGGGGTGTTTTAATCATGTGCTCCTATGATGTCAAACCAATCGACGGATGTGGCTAACTTGCGCCGAGGGCAAAGCGAAAGATGCAGTGATGCATCATCAAGTTGTTGCCATTTTCACCAAGCGCAACTGTCGACCACCGTCATTCTACGAGAAGGCTCGTCATGCTGTATGAGTTCGTGTTGCCACTGCAAAAATCAGCCACACAAAGTTGTCACGCAGTAGTCTCAATTTCTCACGAAAGTAGACTGCTCCCGCAGTTGTTACCGAAAGTAAGCGAAAACGGAAAAGCAGAGTGCGGACTTGATTGATGGGATGGCAATTTGGAGGCAATTTGGAAGATTATCCCCCACCGTGACGAAGCGGGATGGGATGAATGAGTACGGTCAAATCAAATGGGTGCATTCAGTTCCGTGGATGCACCACGGTGGGGTATGCCATTGACAAGGACCAAGTTCGACCTATCGTCCACCAATGACGTCGGTCAGTCCATTCTATGCCATTCTATTTCATTCCAACTCACTTCAGTTCACTTCAGCTCATTTAAGTCCAGCCCAGACATCGTTCATCAAGATGGCGGACACCAGTGGTGGTGCGTGTCACTGTGAAACAGCAGGTATACGTACCCGCATCTGCACGAGGGTTCAAGCGCATTGCGTCACGATGGTTGTGCCGACACTCAGTCGTCCAACTGCTCACCACCACGGCAGTTGATTAATGCACACGTTTAAAGCCGTCAATGAAAATGCGTGGCCATCAATGGTAGTTCACTGCTAGTCCACAGTTTCGGTAGTCTTTCATTCCTGTGAACCTTTCGCAAGCAGAAGAAACGCCTCGACAAGGAGGATATCTTTCAGTGGTAACCCTAACCTCGAGCATTCACGATGATGTACATTTGTAATTGCAAAATGTTAGCACACACTTCGTTCAAAGAAAGTTTTCTGTTCAGAACAGCATCCATCTACTCATCAGTGCAGAAGAGTGGAATGCTACTTCAAGTTAAGACAGTGTTCCCATAAGCGAGGTCAGGATTTTTTGCATCACACCGTCATGGGCGACCAGACCCGGTTTCACCATTTCACGCCAGAACTGAAAAGAACATCAAAGCATTGAACACAGACAGTGCTAGGACATTTCAGTCATACTGACAAGCACTTCCAAGGCAAAGCCCTGTGGGTATCAATTAAACGCTGAAATTAGTGCAGAAATGTACCAGGAAACTATGTGACAACAAAGTGATGCAGTTTGAGTTCCTTGGAAGTTTTCCTTCAAGGTAACCCAGATGAAGGCTCGGGCCGTACTGAAATGACAGTAATTTAAGAAGACGGCATAACTACAGTGGAACTACTTCCTTTCCAAATTCGTTCGCATTGTAACGTCTTAGAGAAGTAACTCGGATGTAGCATCGAGATACAAAGGACGAGTAGAGTACGGAAAATTGCAATAATAGAATAACCAGTGCGCTAACCTCATAGCGTCCGGTTGAGCAGATGTAGTCAAGCAGACAGTCTGGTGCGGTGTTGCCAATGCAAGCAAAGGCAAGATGAGAGACATTTGGTCCGCCCACGGAGTCCTTGGACTCCTTTGGCCAGCCGGCATAGTTGTCCAACTGAAGACAGGGAACTAGTCCACCACAATCGTGTACATGGCGACCCAATCCGTCCCTCCTTCCACCATCACGTCTCATCGCGCTCTCCGCACACGAGGGGCTGCAGAAACCCACCTAGGGAGAGGAGTGCATACTAGGCAATTGCTGACAGTGGCTTTGTGCCCTATATTCGCCAAATTATAGTGGTTACTCCTATGGTAATTAAGTCGCCACTTGCTAAAGAACAAGGTGAAAATGACGCTGGAGCAATGTCCACACTGCACTGCTCGATGCTTCACCTCATTGAGGTTGGCAGTCACAAAGCCCAGTGAGAGCGCGCCATCCCCACATGCAGTCGCATTGTTACTGCTCACAATCTTTTGTTCCCTAGCGTTTTACCCACGCCATGCCACGCGGCGCAGTTTTCGTACCCGTTATGACTGCCCCACTGAAAGGACCAACTGAGAGTAGTGACAGAGAGCACCGCACCAACCGCTTACTGCTGAATGTCAAAACAGGCGTCTGTGTTTTAGCTATCGTAAAACGTGTGGGGGGTAGTGTTCTGGTTTGGTGGGAGGATGGAAACAAAGCATTGAAAGTGAGGGCAGGAGGGAGTTGAGCGAGGATGGGAGAGAAGGAATGAGAGAGAGAGAGAGAGTAAGAGGGAAAGAGGTCGGTATAGGGTTGCCTTCGAAGTACTAAGAACTTCCACAGCCTAACCCTGTGACTGGCTACAGAAGAGGCTATTGAAATTGGGTCACATTTTAATCACAATCCTCCTCTCCAGTCCCATGTAATGGTCAGTGGGGGAATGAGATTCGCCTCGTGTGCAATTCCGTCACACCACAGATCTTGCATTGTTCAGACTTCCCACACACTGACTGCCGCCTCATGGGAACCCATGACTGTTGAAGATATGGGTTGGGACCAATCCATCGCGGCCGCCACAACGCATCGCCAACCCACACCCATCTTCCAACGTGCACATCATTCACATGCCCTTCCATTGACCAGTCGATTATCCCATCCTTGTGTTGTGCTTATACTCCTCCCCACGCTTTCCTTCATAACACAACGATCGGTTGCACGAAATGAACCCACCGTAAAGGATGTCCATTCTTGGGCAATGCAATGAAAATGAGTCCCCACAATGCACTTCGCAACCGAGTGCCTTCCTCGTGACTAGAAAGTGACATTTTTGCCACCATAAACTTCAACGTGATGTTGTCGTATTAGGCTCACTGTGAGCGTAGAGATGAGCAATGACAGTTGACTCTGACAGGCAGCAATTCACTCGACCACAAGAACTCCATTCATCTTCAGTGCGCACCTACCACGACCACATTCACCTCCTTCGTTCTTAAGTGGGCACGGTTCGTCACCATCCCCGCCTGACTAATCAGCTACCCTTTCAATTTGGTATGTGGTATGAGTTGTCACTCCGAAATGCACGTGACTGCACAATCGACAAAAGAAATGCCATTGGAGACTTCACTCTCATCGGTATGTTTGCCCAGTAGTGGTGACAGTGTTGAGCGTCGTTGTATTAATTCGTGAAATTGGAAGTTGACCGTTCTGGTGTAATGGACACAGAGTGCTACGCATGTCCAACTGACCACAGCCACAACCACGAGGACTGAAGGGAGGGCAGATTGGAGGGTTCTAGAACTGGTGCATGCAGCAGCGAATAGCAGCTGAGGTGGTTCCATGGAGCTAGAGAAGGAGGTCAATCAGCCAGCACAATTTCCACCTCAATGTGGAATTTTGGACTCCACAGGCGTTGTTAGCGTAATTCAATACTTTGTAAGTGGGGACAATCAACCCGCACATAACACGCTGTTAATGGTCATTTATATCTCGAATTGGGAAATTCGAAGACTAACATAGACTGTGAATAGCCTCCAGTAGACAAACAATTCGACCATCAACTTGAAGAAGACACAAGTGATCGAGATCTACAAAAGTCGCTAATCGCGATTATCCATCCACTGGAGGTATACAATCACGGTGCCACGAATGGGCGATAATGGAAAGGCACGTGTGGTGTCTACGTGGAGCGTGGATATCAAACTGGGAATCACGGACTCACACAATCGAGCGCAGACATTTTAGGTGAAAGTTCCACTACTTCTTCTCCCCCTTCGCCTTCTTCCGCTGAGAATCCCAACATCCACAAAATATTTAGCTTGTCAATTAAGTTATGCAAAGTCTTGGTACAAAATTCTTGATTGGACGCATGAACCATCCTCACTAGCACATCCTAGCTGTGTCTTCATGGCCAACGTACTCTAACTCCTTAAAACTACTCCTGTTCATGTGCCGCTTTGCGATGTACTGTGCGTCGATCAGACGTCTACAACCAGGCAGGTGTTCTACAGACTGACTGGCGACGCACACGAGTGACTGCTGTGGTGGTGTTCTGGGAACCACCGTGGCCAGGATTGAGAAAAAGAAACAAACGCACACCAGCTCCACGGCATCGAACACCAAAAACATTTTCTGCATCATCCACTTTCCAGCTTCGACCCTCTCGAGTCTTCCTACTCATTGCAACTAACCACAAGACAGGAACAAAGATAAGTAGATGGATTTGCAAAGGCGGGTGATGGTATTTGCAAACATCACGTTGTCTGCTGTACAGACAGTAGCGTAGTAGAGGGGATACATTCGAGGAGTGGTGCCAGGATGCCAAGGAAAATCACACTGCGTGAGCCATTCACGTTTTTATGGGCATTTGCGGGAAAGTAGCATCAAAGATCGTGCCGTGTCCTCAGGTCATGGTTGTGAATCACTTTGAGGACGATTTTTGTTACACTTACAAACTTGTCCTCACCTCATTAATGGCCTCTAGGTGGAGCTGGAAACAAAGGGGATCACCGACAGTTGAGGTGTTGTGCACAGTCCTTCTATTGTAAGTCTGAGCTCATTTGAATCCCCACACCAGATGTCTTCCCTCTCTCGTCAGTGAATTACCCAAACGATGGGATTTTGCAGCTGGCCATACAATTACTCTAACGACGACCACCCCCACACTGCCGATAGTGTTACAAACAGCTAACGAGGTGGAGCTACAGGGGCGCACTAAAGACTCACAGAACAAGGACAACACTGGCAACAAGTTTGCACCGACATGGGATCACTTACGAAAGAGCAGCCACTGCAAGGTTTGAGGTTGAAGCATCGGTTGTAGCAGTGGTAGCAATACATGTGAAGGAACTCCTTCACCAGAACGGAGGCATATGGCTTGTCAACTATGAGAACCTCACCTAAAAAACACAAACAAGGCAAACACACTCATCAATGATTAGCTCATAGGGAAGGGGAGAAACGTCAACGAATGGGAATGTGGGGGCAGGCCAACGTAGACAAGGGTGGATCTCTCGAGACAGAATCGCATTCGTGAGTGCAGGCCTTCTCGCACAGTCGATCTGATGACACAATTTTCAGGGAAATCTGCCCGTTTGGTTGAGAGGTGTTCAATCCGCAAAAGGGAGTGCCTTGGTGACGATACAACACTTAGTAGTAGTGAGTGCCAAGTCTGTCCGTCAGATTTGATATTTGAGCAAATACCTAGGCAAACTTCACTTGACTTTGAACTGTCACAGATCGGGACACTGGCAAAAAATGGGGCTTTTTGCCACGGTCTGTTGCGTGGCAACATTGTACAAGGGGGCACAATCAACCAAGGCCACAAGAACAGACAGTTGAGCACTCCATATCAAGATAACTTTTGCCTTTCGGCCGGTACAGAGTAAGTCAATGCTGCATTGAGTGAAATGCCTTGATAAAGAAGTCCAGGACTCTCTGGATTGCAGCAATGAATATGGGGAAGCTTGAATGCGTCACTTTGCTGCAATGACGAAGTGGAGCAAACTGTTCTAGGCTGCTTCAATGGCAGTGACAAGCCCTCTCCTCAAATAACTTTCCCGTACAATGATTGTAATAGCAGAGAAGTAAAAATTTCAATTTGTTGAGTATTTGAAACAGAATGAATGCATTGGAGAATAATTCTAGAGCCTGACACAGATATCAAGCCAGGATTTCTAGATTGGACTGTATTTAGGAGTTAAAAATTAGGACCCTCTCTAGAGAATGCTTTTACCAACAGAAACGTTCCTTGTAACTTCAAGCGTCCAACCGCGTTTGCGACCGGTATTCCTTAGGCGAACAGTTCCATCTGGTGCAGAGAGCAGACGGCAAGAAGTCTCCGATGTATCATCAATAAGCTCCTTCGTCGCCTTAATTGCCTGGGATTTTGAAAACTTCGGAGGTTCGTAACGAATGCACTTCCAGACAGATTCAGAGGGGGATGGGTGCATCGACTTCGTCTTCTCCCGTTCCGCACTGCATTCCAATAACCCGCGTTTAGCCAGTGGTAGAAGCAAGGTCTTCATAGAGACTTCAGAATGATCGAGGAGGCTGATGGCTTCCTGGAAGTGCTGTCTTGCCTCCGGCAGGTGATTCCGTCGCTGATGGCATTGGGCTATGCGGATGTGCAGACGTGCGGCCTTTGACTGTGGAAAGCCCAACTAGGAAGGGGAAGTGGTGTAGAAATGAGTCAATTCAACAGGTTGGCTCATTTACATCCCTAAATGAATGCCCTTCTGTTTCTGAAGTAGTTCATTTGTAATCAAGATTGAGTATTTACAGAAAGGATTTCATTACCGAAACCATCAATGTACGCGTAGGAGAATGCAATTTAATCTTTTACAATCCACCTAATAGCCCTACAGTCTTTCGTGTACCTCGATAATAAAAAGGTTTGTATGCTTTAAACAAGCGGAAACCCTACATTCACTGCCTGGATACTGCGCTTAAGCGTCACAGAAGGAAGGTGCCCACTGTAGATGGGTAAACACAGGCCAACTGTTCCAATTTCGAGTTTTGTAAATAATGGCCAGCAAAGGAGAGAAGCAAGGTTTGAAAAAATACTAATGAACAAACCAAATAAGATATTCATTTGAAGACATTTAATCCTGAAAATCAACAAATAAAAGACGTCCCCACATTGCGAGAAACTGAAAGCACCCCAATTAGGCTAGCAGGGATCACAAAATTAACATCAAGGTGGAAAAGAGTGAGCACTGAGTTTCTTCACGCTTTATTAGATGGTTCTACTTTTAGGTCAATTTTCCTACAAATGGATATCATTATACAAATGCGCTTACCGTAGAAAAAGCATCGTATGACCCCGAGAAGTTCAAAGTTAAACCTCGATAATGTGATTTGCCGATGAGACTTAATAAGGTAATTCACAAAATTTAGGAAAAATATTGAATGTCTCACAGGTGGATTTGATACATCTGATCATCTTATGATGATAAAACGGAGGAATGACTACGAGAAGCATTGAGTGCAGTGTCAAAAATGAGAAGAAGGCCTGGTAGAATTTGACCTAATAGTGCATCTAAAAATGCAGGCATTATGGGTTCCAAATGATGTCTCCACTACTACAATTGCTGTTCAATTCAGAACGCAATCTCTTAAAAGGTTTAAAGAAAGATACCAAAAAAGTGGTGTCACCTACGGTAATGAATGATAATTGTGTCCTACTAATACCCACAATAACCAGTGCACATCGTGCGTAGGCCAGTCCAGACATTGTTCACCAAGATGACATACAACAGTGCTAGCGGATATGCGCGTGAAACAGCGTCAGATAACGAACAAAGCCCCACATTAACTGAACCGCTGCGGGGATTTGAAGCACGGCATGAACGGTGGCAGATTCCCCAGCAGTAGAGCAGTTAAAGGGTGCAGACGCCTCGAAGACGACTATACGTATGTCTATCGGTGATTCACGATTCCGTCCATTGTGCTGTTCCAAATAGCAACCTTGACAGCCATTTATCCTAGGAAACATTCAGCCGGAGCGTGAGAGCCCCAAATGATCCTAAAACTTCAAGCTGTGCATGCATAGAATTAAGGGATGAACCATTTGTAAATATACGTAATTTCGGAAACTTAGGCCACACTCAGTGCCAAGACAGCCTTTTCCTTGTAAGCAGTACAGAAGTGACGAATACCGTGTAGAAATAGTGTTTTGATAAGCCCAGTATTTTTAGGATCACATCGCTACGCGTGAGGAAAGCTGACTACACTAACCCACATCAGACGTCAAAATTTAATCACCGTGGAAGAAGTGAAGGAGGCCGTTCTAAGTAGCCGCTGTTGTCTTGATAATTCTAAGTGGAAGATGTATGTATGTATGCGTGGAAGTAGCTGCAGAAGATGATAGGAAAAACGAAATGTTCACCATTTAAAATCAGATAGTGAAAGCTACACACGTACTATGCTTTTGCTCATTATTCAAATACGATAGATACTATCATTCGATATCACTTGAAAATTCTTACCGTTTCAACTTCACAAGCTAATACTACAAGAAAATGTACACAAAGTTATGGCAACAGTGACTACCTTGAGTGCCTCGCTTGCATCTGCAGCAGCCTCCTCGAAGCAATTTAAGCTGAATAGAACACAGGAACGATTCCCCAAAGCCAGAGCCCTTGCAGAATCCGAAGCCGCGTGAAAGAGTGCGGCTGTATAAAATGCAAGTGCTTTCATCACTTTGCGTGATTCCCACAACCGGTTGCTAGACTCCCGTATCCGCGTCGATGCCTCATCCGACTTGCCATTGAACCTCGCCATCGCCTCTCTTGTGAACGGCAGTCCAAGCACTTCTATACCGGCCTTCACTATAAGTCCAGGCAAACAGCTTCTACTAGAATAGTTCCAATAGCAACTTTTTATTCCAAAAATCTATTTAGAAGCTGTACACACCGGCATTAGCAGCTTCCAAAGCCCTGAGGAGATAACAAACGCGTTGGAAGTCTGTTTTATTCTCACCAAACTCCTTCAGCCATTCCTTTTTCTTACCCACTTTTGACATACTCTCATGCACGATCCTGAAATATTTCTTCACAAGCTCGTGTTGACTACCTGGTTTCATGCATTCCATCCCTGCAGAGCGAGCCACGCCAAACCTACAGCATTAAAACGGATGCATTTTTAGCTTCTTAGGAGGAATTCATCTAAGAGTCCTGCCCTCCTCGGTTAAAAGCATTAGAATTCAGAGCTGACACGGTCACTCCCTGTAAAAATAGGCAAATATCTGTCTAGCAAGCAAGCTTTTGGACATGCAACACTAATACAGGGACCGAGAGAATTTGCAATCGGCCTTCTAGCCCTCAAGCACAGGAGCAACCCGTCATCTCGAACTCCGTTAACAATGGTTTGTTAATAAATTGAGCGAGCAATTAATAGAGGCAATGAGCTGTCAAGCGTGCGGGTCTTAAGCGCGTCGGCATGCGATACGTGAATGATGACGCCTGGCACAAGTCACAAAGTGGAGGTAAAACATGAAGATATACTTTCAAAAAAAAACAATGTAGACGATAATGCAAATCCAAATGGAAGGAGTATCAATAGATAGAAGACATCCCCAAGGACAGCCTAAAAGAGCGAGAGAATTGAGGATTAGAACGTTGTTTTAATTTGCTGTGATACATTGAACTATATCTTATGTTTACATTGAGCAAAATATCAGAAAAACCTAGATCGAACCTACTGGTTCCCTCGTACACTGAAGGATGAGAAATCATCCCCTTTCAATACTGCATCCTCCAAATCTGGTAGATTTTAATGACATATTGACACGTCTTAAGCGACTGGTTCACTCGAAATGGGCACACGCCGCATAAACAGAAAACATGCTGGGTACTGAAGAAGAGCCATTAGTTACTGCCTAGATAAGACACACCAGTTTTCCACATTCCCAAATCCGTTAAAAACTCTATTCCTACAGCAAGTGAGTGCAAAAGAAGAAAACAGTGCAGCACACGCTAGACATAAGGGGCTCTTGACCCTAACACGAGCACACACAGACGATTCCCACAAAACTCGACCTAGAAAGGACAAAGGAGCATCGACCTTGACTGAATAAATCATTAGGAAGTACCATCACTTAATGAAATAATAAAATGCTAGCAGAGCCTGCTACTCAACTCAATTTAATTCACGTACTTCTTAATTTAACAGATAAATATAGTAAATAGGCTGAATCTTGGATTTTTTCGCAAACAGTAAGCAGCATATATTTCTCCAAACAGTAAGTCACAAGTGTACTATCTGCATCTGGACTAATTTTATTTGACAAATTAATAAAAAATTTTAATACCTACATTACATGATAGCTTGAATGACAGAATGGTTGCATAACTTGAAACTGAGGAGGCCATCTGTTTACATAGGTCCTAGTCTATTATTATGTTATTATATTCAATAACTCCACTAGCCTGTCAATCCATCAAATAAACGAAAATTCTTAAATGAAAAGTAACAATTCCCCCGTGCCGTTATGACAAAACTTGTACGAAATATGACTTGCACAAATCAAGCGCTTGGTTGCAAAACCGCACCTTTTACATTTGTAGGGAGTTTAAGGTGGTTTTGGCCCTTATGGCAACAAAAATGCCCAAAATATCTTAATCCAATAAATAATGCGAGCAACAAAATCTGTAGGTCATTTGAATAAGTCAAGGCGTTGCAAAAATCGTTGCAACGACTCCGCCAGTTGCACATGCTCTAGTTTTTTCACAAGCATATGAAAGTCTGCCATTTCCAAGATTCCCTGTTGCACTGCATAGCCTTCTTCACCGTATATTCGCCTAAAAATCAAACAAGAAATACAGCATAGGCATTTTAGAAGCCTTTCCATACTTAGATCTCTTTGTAATGAGGTTAAGGTTCAAAGGTGACTGTTGAAGAACATACATATTTTGACAGTAGAAAAGACGCTCAGCGAGAGCACAAATGCGCGCAAATTCGATGGCATTCAGTGCGTAATCCTCCCCAGGTATATCCAACAGGGAGACGATCTCTTCAACTTGTTCCTTATTAAAAGAACCGCCCATAAGAGCCTTCAGCGGCTCTTCAAGTTTCTAAAATGTAATTAAATTTTCTTCTGCAATTTTGGGAAGCAGGTTTGATTAAATGTACTTATTGCACTACACTTAACCTACTCACGAGGATGATTCCACTTTAACGCATTGCTAAATATTACCTCATCATAGAAGTTCTTTTAAGGTTTTAGAAAGGTAAAACGTTTTCACAATCTAACTAATTAACTTTCCGTGTGTGGTTGATTGGATTTACTTGTTTTTTACTAGAGGTGGCACAAGTGGCACCTGCTTTATTTCCGAACTTACGCTAATTGGAATAAGTTGGGTTCTATTCTCCTTGAATTTGTTAAAGATTCGGGTATAATATGGTACTCGGGTAGCCCTCAGCTCGCAATACCGCTTTATGTATTCCATTGGTCCAATATCTTTAAAAAGTATGCGAAGAAGGTTAGATCTATGTTAAAGTACTAAAGGTTTTTGATCTGACAACAAATCCTCAAAGTCCGCGAAACTACAATGCATGTGTGATATAGCCGCGTAACAGCAACTTACTTTCCATTTGCTTCAAGTTGAAGGGGGTCGTATAGCGCACCAACGTTTCCCGTGACGAATTTCTGTCATGGTGATTATGACCCAGCAAATTTCGCATCATCTAACTCAACACAACCAGAGAATGTGCGGAAATTAACACATTTTTTTGCATCTTTCTAATAACCACAATTATATCACCTTACATCTTTATAGCGGTAGGCGTAGGACTGACCCATGTCAGTGAGACCGGTTTGCCAACACGGAGGTCGCATGTGATGGAGGCGTGAGTCATAGCAGTGGCATAGCTCCAGCTGACCCTCCACTTCGGCTTGTTGACGATCGCAATGGTTACGCACTACAGCCTGCCAGTGCTCTAAGTACTCAGTTTGACTCCGTGTCAACCGGTCAAATCGTTGACCGTAGAAGAAAAAGGGAGCTCGAAAGCGCAAGAGGTCGTTGCAGGTCAAGCTCTGCTCACACCAACTGTTCCCCTGGTGGGAGGGGATCTGGGCCAGCAACTCCTAAATTTTTTGCAGGCATGGAATGACCTAAACTCGGCTTAGAACATAGGTGAGACATTTAAAGAGCTAAAAAGTAGCATTGTAGAGAACAGTAAACAAGTGGCACAAGCTTATCTCTAACCTGTATAACCCCATACTATCGATGTGCTTTATGTTTGTTGAATGATTGATTGTCGGCGCTATGGATGCAACAACTTTAGACAAATGTGCGAGTAAAGCGTGAAAAGGCATCTGGAATTCACGAGACACCAATGCTAGAGAATTCATAAATAAAACTCACTGAGGGATCGTTGGGCTGGAAGCGGTTCCAGGTCTCAACGAGGCCCTTCACTCCTGTTTTGGGATCTACTATCTCCGCTAGGGGGGCCTTCTTCTCTGGTGCGTAGTCCCGCAGTTGCTGCAGCGTCATCAACGATGGGTTGTGGGCCGGAAAGTTAAAAATTTCCCTAAAATTTCGATGCAATCGTGAATCACAAACGGGATTCAAATTTTTTTACCTATGACAAAATATTTGGAATAATCTCAACGCCAGCATTCAAAAAATACTGCACATGGTAATGAGATTCTACTGTTATTTTATAAGTAGCAACTTTAAAGATGATAAATAATTTAATTGCAAAAGTTTAGGGGTTTGAAAATTGTATTATGGAGTAGAAGCGCTCTCTAAATCCCAACACAGATCCCTGAAAAGTTCATTCATCATTTATGAGGGTTTTCAGCTCAAAGTCATGGCAGTTATTCCCTCATGTTAACATTCAGCAATCAAGTGGAACACCTACCTGATTCTGAGCACCTAGGCGATGCTTACCAGTCTGCCGAGACTAACCCGTTCGTGGAATCGGTAGAGGACATGAGCAATAACAATTTTGAGAGGTTGAGCCATACTGTAAAATCATTTTTCATTTTAACCAGTACGGAAGGAAAGGCCTTAACATGAACCGTTAACTCAAAACAAACATTGAAATGTAACTTAAAAAACAAAAGGTATAGCTTTAATAAGCACAATGATCTACCTAAACCAACTTTTGAAATCAATGCGCATAGACACCCCCATGCTTAATGGATGCCATCAAAAGCATCGCCAAATTGACATACGAGGGAGGTGAGTAGCTGATCTCTTCAGCAGGCTCCGTTTTATTATCCTGGCAGTCGTCGTAGACGGCTTCCGGTTCCGCTTCAGCTATCCGCCTTACATTCTCCTCTAAAACCTTCTGATACCTGAAATACCGCTTGATTATCTGGTGTGAGACCTCCTCAAAGGTCGGAGGCGCCCTCATCTTGCCAACTCTGCTGTGCCCCCTATTGATCCATTCACCACATGTGACCCTCTTCAAATAGTTGTCGAGGCCATTTGCAGAAAATTGCTACAGTGCCCGAGTTAGTGACAAAGACTCCCAAAACTAGCTATATTAGGGATACAGGGAAGGCCAGAAAGTGTAATACTTATGTTGTTTGAATTTGCCTTTCAGGGAGGAGGCAAACAGGAAATTCGAACCTTGTAACTGGATCGCCCTCTCCCTTACCTAGTGACTGCGGCTCCCCTCCTTCTTGAATATTGTATTTTCCCTATACATCTTGTCGTCTTTAATAAAGATGTCCAAAGCAAACCAACCGGGCTTGTCTAGGAACGCTAGTAATCGGGAAGCGGAGACCGAGGAGCCTCGCTCCACACTGGTGGCAGCGCCCGCTGACCTACCCCCTTTCGAGGAAGATATGAATTTCGAAGAGTGGCTCCTAACTGCCAAAATTAACCTTCCTCTCCATCCCCATTGTCAAAGAATACCTCTTATCCTTCGCGCCCTCCCGCATGATTTATTCGTGGCCCCAGTCGGAGCTGGCATTACCCACGACACGGACGTTGACCAATGCTGCGATACATTGGCTCAACTATTCATCGATCGTGAGGAGGGAACCCTGGCTAGGGACTTCTTTCAGCGTTTTCAAAAAGCTGATGAGGCTGACGAAGAGTACGCCAGGAACCTCCAACTCCTGGCGGAACGTGCGTTCCGCGGCTGCCCTCCAAACAAGATCGCCAATTGGGTTACAGTTCAGTTTAAACACGGAATCCGACCTTCCACCTTGGCTGAGAAGCTCTGCAAAGCAAAGACTAACTCGCTCGACCAATCAGTCAAGCTCGCAACCAAGAAGCGGCAGGAACTCCGGGGGCTCCCGACTTTCCGGAAACCGCAAAACTGGTCAAATGC